ATCATCTTCGTCATCTTCCATGTTTGCAAAATAGGATTCAGCACGATCCCATCCTAAGTCTTTCGCCATTTGTTCAATTTTCTTGTAACGAGGTACATTTGGATCGTCTCGAGGCATTCTAGCGTTGTCTCTTAATTTGTAACGCTTCGAGTCACCTCCTTCAGGCATCATCCAACCTCTTTTCGTAAATTCCAGCAAGTGTGGACATTCATTCATAAAATGATCTGTCGACTTGCACAAGAAACATGCCCACTGAGTTCCATTCGAACTTCTCGGTGTCGTATTTCTTTCAAATCTATTAGATTGATTCGAGGGACCACTCGGTGGTATCGAATTAATCATTCCTTTAGCATTTTCTTTGGCCATCTGTGCCATTACTGCTGTTAACTGCGTCATAATGTCTGCTCCTTCTTTGAAGTGCGACTGTAATGACTTCACAGCTCTAATTTCTTTCATGTTTGCCTCCATGAGGTCTTTATTCAACGCAACCATCTGCTGTTGTTCCTCCGTCAATTCCCTTGGAATCAGACTTTCTAATTTAATTCCCAGAAGATCCTTAAATTCGTCTTCTACTTTGGGTTTCAATGCTTGAAGATAGTTCCTATCTGTCTTGGGAACATCTGCAGCAAACGGTAAATTAATGTGTCCCCTACTAAATGAATTAGGGTTATTAATTGGTGGGCTCGATGAAGCAATGGAAAGTGTTTGATAGTAGTTATCAAATGAACTCCCAATCATATACTTCTCGGCCGCATTCATTACTTCGTCAATCTTGAAAGGGTCTTCCTTTCGTCTATCTGACATCGAAGTAACTGATACATCTTTCACAACTGTTTCTAGCACGCCTCTCCTTACTTCGGGAGTCATAGGTGCCAAGAACAATTTTACTGCATCACTATTTGTGATCATTTTCGGTTCATCCATCAGCTTTTTCATTTCAGCATCGAAGAGGAGTCTGAAGATTCTCATCTTCTCCTGTTCACCTGCATCAATTGGATTAAATTGATGGACCAATTGTTCAAGCAATAATCTAGATCCTCTTTCGTCTCCTACAGATTGCGGAAACATATTCTTTAGATCCTTTTTAAATTGATCCCAATTCGGTTTCTTCACCGAATCAAAGACTCTTAATGCTTGTCTCGTTTTATAAGACGTCCATTCTAAAGCTAATCTCACTTTAGCCTCGTCAGATGTAATTCCTCCATGTTCAAATATGCTTTCAGTAGCTTCGAACCATGGTATCATTTGACTTGGATCAGTTATATCGAATAATGGTGCTGTCTTATACTTTCTTGGAAGTTTCGCACTGGCTTTATCAATCTCAGCCTTAGCTTCAGCTGACAACGCAGGCATTCCATAATTATTGGTAGTCATTTTGACTGTTTCAATCATATTACTTGTTTGAGAGATAGTCTGATGTAACGTATCTATCAATCTAGTTGATTCAATCGACGTAGAAGATGTTGAAATTGACTCTGGAGCAATCAATTCAATTATATCTTCTTCAATATCAATCGGATCAATTTCTTTTCTCTTTCTTTTCGGATCGAGATTAGATTTCTTCAAATTCCTCGGCAAAGATGTAAGTCTTCCTCGAGATATAGATGATCCTGTTCCTCTAGAAACAGAACTTTCACGCGATTCTTCTGTCGGTATTTGAGAAGAGGACGGACGACTGGATTCGCTCGTAGGATTTAATAGGGATGTTTGAGCTGATGTGCCGAACGTAGATCTCCCAAATACAACTCCTGCTTTACGATATTCTTCCGGTGTCAAAACTCCTGCTTTCTCCGAATTCTTCGAAGTACGCGGTTTTCCTGATGAACTAATGTTGACAGTTCACAGAAATGGTATCACAAAGATCAACACACTTCTACCAAATAATCGAATATAATCCAAACAAACGTTCAATTTAATTTATCAAGCTAATTGTAGCTTCAAAACCACCCCTCGCGGTGGGCTCCAGATAACGAGCTTGCCTCGTTTTTGTGTGAAAGAGAAAGGAAGGAATCTAATGGGCACTCCAACCAACCAATCTAATACACAATATGCGAGTTCACTGCTATCAAATTTATTTAATAGCAAGGGGTAGCGTTGGCAAAGGTTCCGCAAAGCTTTGAGAGCTAAGTACGAAGCTTTGATCAATCAATTTGAATCGTTCTAAGGATTCGATATATTCCTTTGATCAAGGTAGATTCAGCACGATTTGTGCTTTGGTTTGTATTGATTTGGGTATATCAAGAATTGGGGGTTTGAATCAAAGTAAATTAAAACCGAAACACACAGACCCCTATGGAGGGCTAGAACTATGTGCTGGCACAACCACACAGCGTGATTTGCCCTTAAGACCAACGACTGATCCTAAGTTCGAAGAATACCCAACAACTGGATAGACTTCTCGCAGTCACAAGGAGCAGAACACGACGTTCCTATACTCACAAGTGCCGGGCCCGAATGGCTGCTAGCGAAGAGGTTTCAGTCTGGCGGGAGTGTGTCTTTCCTTTTTACGGATTAGCACTGCAACGTCGTCCCAAAATCACTTGTATTCCAGATACATCGGATCGCTATTTATACATACAGAATATAGAGTCGCATAGTACAATTAATTTAATACAATAAACGTTTGGAACCGCAAGGAAACTTCTACACTCAGTCAGATACCATTTAATTTGAATCTACATGTCCTTATTTGGTCCATATTGGTTCCAAGATTCTAGTATACCTCCAAACATAGGTAGGTACTTCAATATTCATTTAATTTAATTGTTTTTGGAGGATGACTCGAATGATGTTCAACTGTCATTGCTGTTCAACACTTACTTCGATCGTTTGTCACCTCGTCCGGAGGCAAATCAGCTCTCCTCGATTCTAATCCTATCAATCTGATTCATCTGGATTAAACTAATTGCTTCTCTCTTTCAACAGACACCCATTGTGCCTATACTCTATCAAGGGAGTTACGCATAGTATTCATTTAATTGCATTCTTCAATATTTTCTACGTCAGGACTCTTTTGACATTCATTTGATATGTCTTCGGAGCCTCGCAGTACTTCGATCGTTCTTCTAGTCATTTTCCTCAACCATGCAACTTGATTGGTCTATTAGACTAAATCGCAGTCTTTTTAGATTAATGCATGATCTCGTTCTAGAAGGAGTATTTGATAATTCCTGAGTTCTAGAAAGTCATTTCGAGTCAATCCTCGGTTCATGGTCACTTGAGTAAGTTCTTCCAAACTCCTGCCAGTGTAAGGTCCAATAAGAATACCCTTGGTATGTCATACGTGAATGGTCATCCTTCGGATGTAGTCCGAGTCTGGTATAATCCTGCTTGACAAACAGGTAGACTGCTATCCGTAGGTAGTATCGGGGATGGGTAAACTAACCAACTTGTGGTAGTATGGGTATATGGTCCCTTCAACTTATTAGACTGATTCAGTATTAACTTTGACTGTCAATCTGGGTCTCAATTACAGTCCTCTTGATACAAATCTATACGTGAAAATGTCACAATTCACAGCATAGACGTCTAGCCAAAATTTAGGCGTGTCACCGGATTCAGCCCGAACTGAATAGACGAATACTTCACTTTGCAAAGTGAAGGGTCTACAAAGCTTGCCCTTGATACAGGTTATCTTCAAGACTGGGATTCTCGACTGTAAGTGTTTCTACAGCTGTTAACGATATCTCCGAGCTCAAGGTTACCTCTCTTTAGAGAACCATTATATTCTAGTCGCCGACAATTATCACACCAAACGCCTAAAATCCCATTCGTCTTTTTCACTATACTCATACACAATGCCCGATGTTACTCTCGAACAACTCCAGTCAGTCCTATCTACTGAAGCATTCTCTGTGATTGCACCACTCTTCGAAAATCTTGCTTCGAGACTTGCGGCAAGTGAAGGGAGGGTTGCCGACTTGCAAACAGCTCAAGTTAACACTCAGCAACTCTCGAACCTCTTTCGTGAAGCAATTTCAGAAATCACTTTCCCTCCACCACCACCATCTAACCCTCATACTGCTACAGCTCGAGCACCATTACGAACGGAACTCCCTATCTTCCGCGGCCGTCCTGATGAAAATGTTAGTGCCTTTATTTCCATTGCACAAGACTTGCTAAAGGCTACGCACATTGCTCAGGAAGATTGGGGAGTCATCGTAAGTGGTTGCTTCCGTGATACGGCTCAAACTTGGTACTTAGCCAAGAAGCAGGACAATGGAGACAAACCTCTCGAATGGAACCATCTAGAACGCGAACTTCGTACTCAATTCGACCACCCAGCACGAACAGATGAACTTCGGAACAGTTTGTCCCGATGCAATTTCCGAGGTAATGTTTCTGAATTCATTCCTCGCTTTCAAAAGCTTGAAATGCAATTATCTCCTACAGATATGACCTTTGGAGATCGTAAGTTCAACTTCTTTCGGAGTCTTCCTCCCGAACTTTGTTTCCATATCTCTAACTCAAATCCCTCTTCGATGGCTGATGTTTATGAAGCTGCTCGAGTCTGGGAAAGGTATCGCCGTACCTCTGGACATATCAATGCTACACGGACAAGTGACCCTCGACGACGAACCAATAATAATACTTCCTCCACCTCTTCTTCTATGTTCCCTTCTACCCCTTTGGCTAACACCTCAACCCCGGCTCCTATGGATCTCGATACTTTCACCCCTCGCACTTCTTCATCTAATAGAGCTAACTTGCGCTGCTTCAACTGTGACAAACTTGGCCATTTCTCGAAGGACTGTCGTCTTCCACGAAGGAAGAAGAATGGTCCTCCGCTGCCAAGTCACAGTCATCCGAACAGACCCCAACATTCGATGTTCCATATTTCCATGGGACGTAGTCGAAATTCGCCCTTCAGCTCTCGAAAGTCTTCCCTTCTTGGATGAATCTCAGGTCGTTTCAGAAAGCAAGAAGCTTCTAAAGAAGAGGTCAATCAATTCTTAGGTTCTATTCCGACAAGGCCATTGGAAGCTCATGTCTTGAGCGTTGACCTTGAAGGATCTCCAGAGCCTACCTTGCCTGTATATTCCGCTGTAGTTGGTGGAATCCGCTCTCGTTTTTCTCGAAAAAATAAGAAGAAGAACGAAAAGGGCAAGGAAAAGGAATCTAAAAGGGTAGTTGATTGTATCTTCGACACTGGAGCGCGCGACAACTATGTCAATGGTCGTGTACTTAGGAACCTTGACAATGTCCAAATTTTTCCACTCGACCCTCCTCGCGAAATCTTCGGTGCTGGTCATACTTCGACTGCTTCATTTGCTCGTTTTACATTGACTATTGGTTCTATGGAAGAAGAGACGTTAGCTTATGTTCTAGATCAGAGCACGGGTTTTCGGTATGATCTTCTTCTTGGACGAACCTTTCTTGCAAAACACGATGTTCAATTCAACTGGCAGGAGCACACCCTCGAGTTGGTCGACCTGTGTACTCGGGGGGTGGTCAAAGTTCAAGCGTGTCGTTGCCCAAATGATCCCGAGGAAACACAGGAACTCTACTCATTGAAGGTTAGCAAAAATGAAGATGGGTATGTTGATCTTCCTGATGAACAGTATACATACTCACCGGATTCAAATACTGCTAATATTAGTGAGCTCAATGATGACGACAATGGTGATAGCAATGATCAGGAACTCCCTTCTCCCCCTTCAACTCCTATTCCAACTTCTACGGTTACAACAACTGTTAGCAATAAAGAAGACGCCGACACAGAACTCAAGAAAGGCTCATTTGGTGATAAACTAAGAACCCTGGCCATGAAGATGTTTCCGAAATGTTTTCGGGAAAAAGTAGGTTACCCACCTCTCAGGCGATGGGTACATACAATTGACACTGGCAATGCACAGCCAATCCGTATACGTGGACGCCCTCATTCTCCCCGCGAGAACCTCGAAATCAAAAACTTTTTGGAGAATGGTATCCGGGATGGAGTTATTGAACGTTCCGACTCTCCTTGGTCTGCACCAATTCTCCTCATTCCAAAAAAAGATGGTACACTTCGTCCCTGTGTGGATCTCAGAGCCCTTAACAATCTAACTTGAAAAAATGCCTACCCCTTGCCTCGAATAGATGAATGCTACGTCAATCTCAACAACGCCTCAGTTTTCACAACTCTTGATCTAAAATCGGGATATTGGCAAGTTCGTTTGGACGAGGATGCGAAGCCGAAAACTGCTTTCACCTGCAGATACGGTCATTTTCAATTCCGCGTCATGCCATTCGGACTTACTAATGCTCCGGCAACATTCCAAACAATGATGAACGACATACTGAGTGAGTATATTGATCACTTTGTTATGGTCTATCTTGATGACATTGTTATTTATTCAGAATCTACCAATGAACATGAAACTCACGTCAAGAAGGTACTTGCTGCTCTTGATGCCGAGGAACTTGTTCTTAACCTGGATAAATGTACGTGGGCACAGGATGAATTACTCTATCTCGGGCACTACAGTCATTCCCACGTCCTTTGAACAGTGAAATTTAGTTACACTTCGGAATCAATGGTTGCTGGTTCAACAAAGTATCCAAGCTGATAGAAAATGAATACATAGCTCAATGAACATTCTAAATGCTTTATGTCTATGGATTTGGGGGAGTATTGTGTGCGATGAAAGCTATCAGTTCAAAATTCTCTTATCAGTGCATTTGGGTTCCTTTGAACAGTCGTCACATTGGCTGTGATTCCATTCATAAGATCATGTGCTTAAGGTCCTTTTTAATTGGCATACTCCTTTAGGAAGGTGTGATTGTGACACGCAAACGCTGGAAATTCTCTGTTTTCATCTTCGAGAGGGTATAATTACATGCATATTACATGCTGTACTTTTATTAGTGCTGAGTTGGGTACACATAGCCTACATTTTACCACAGATGCAAATTTCTTGACCCCATTGCTTATTCCATGTCGTTGGATTTTTCTTTAAGATTGACTGACAGTCCATTTTACTGTAAGTTGGTAAATTTTAACAGACCTTTGTAATTATCTATCTACCTAGGTATTGGATATTCAAGGTATACATTATTTACACAGAATAACCACAAGTCCGAGGGCAGATTGTATGGTTTTTGCTCATTCCGAAGCCACTGTTTAAAGGAGGTAGGATGTTCAAAGGACGTGGGAATGACTGTATGTATCTGGAAAAGGTATTCAAGTTAATCCTGATAAGGTGAAAGTTGTCTTGGAATGGCCAATACCTTCCAATATTACAGAACTTCGAGGATTCTTGAACCTCGCTGGGTACTATAGGCGCTTCGTACGTGGTTTCGCTCAAATTGCTATGCCGCTAACTGATCTTCTCCATGGTGCACCAAAAAAGGGTTCAACTATTTCCTGGACTCCCGAATGCACCGTCGCCTTCGATAAACTCAAATACGCACTTACTCACACACAAGTCCTCATTCATCCCACTCCTTGGCATGTATTTGTCATTGACTCTGACGCTTCTGGTACCTGTATTGGTGCCGTTCTTCAACAGTCTTGCACTCCATTCAAGGATCTTAACGAAGGGAGGGATGAGGGTGAATACGAAAAGCAATTTGAATTCAAAGAAAAGAACCTACGACCTATAGCATACGAATCGCGCAAGATGACTCCAACTGAACAACGGTACTCCGCCCAAGAACGTGAAATGTTGGCCGTCGTTCATGCACTCAAGAAGTGGCGAGCTTACATTGAAGGTTCCCCAACAGTTGTTCGAACTGACCATGAATCCCTCAAGTACTTCCTCACTCAAAAGGATCTTGGCCGTCGACTCACTCGCTTTGCTGATGATATTGCCCATTTCGATGTCAAAATCATGTATCGTCCTGGTTCAGCTCAGATTGCTGCCGACGCTCTCTCTCGTCGACCTGGCCATGCCGATATCCCTGATTCTGACTATCAACCTCTACATACTATCGAAGTCAATGATCCTGAAGACAGGTCAGTAATTTTCCAAACTCTCGAACACTACCGAAAGGACTTACTGGCTGGTAAACCTTTGAAAAGTACGGAAGGAAAATATCTGGTACGTGATAATCTCCTGTTCAAAGATATTAGTCCCGATGACAGAGACCCACAGGTTGTCATTGTGCCTACCTCCGTTGCTGAAGCCCTAGGACTTGTCCAAAGGCTTCATGTAGATCTCGGACATCTAGGTATCAATGCTGTCACAGACTGTCTGCGAACTCGAGCATGGATTCCTTATTCAACAGAGATGATTGAATACACAGTACGTACTTGTGATCATTGTCAATTCACAAAACGCGAACCAACTCATCTTCAGCCAATGTTTCCGCTACCTCGAGTTAACGCCGGCGACATTTGGGCTTTTGACTTCATCGGCCCACTTCCTAAAACCAAACGTGGTAATCAGTACCTTCTCACTACGATGGACTTAGGAACAAGCTTTACCTTTGCTGATGAACTACCTCGACGCTCTGCAGAAACTGTTGTTCGACTCCTTCGTCATATAATTTCCATATTTGGGAAGCCCCGAGCAGTACTCACTGATAATGGTGAGGAATTCATGTCATATAATTTTCAAAATCTCCTTCAACGACTTACCATCGAACACCTTCATACTTCCCCCTATCATCCTCAAACTAATGGCCGCCTCGAAAAATTCAATGATACATTGGTTCAAATCTTAGCCCGATTCAGCGCTCCAGATCACCAGAATGAATGGGATGAGTACGTACTGGATGCTTTGCTTGCTCATCGAGCTCACAAAAATTCTAGTACTGGAATGTCCCCGGGTCGCATGATGTACGGCTTTGAACCACGTCTTCCTAACGATACTGTCTTTGGCACCCTACAAATTCCTCCTTCCGATGCCGAAATTACAGTCCTACAGGAACGTCGTCTTGAACATGTCAAAAATCTTGGACAATATCGAGAAGAAGCTAATGCGAAGGCCTTGGCCCGTCTTGAGGAAGAAGCAACAAAAAGAGAAGATGGGTATAAGGAGCAGGGACTCGGAGTTGGAGACCTGGTATTGAGAAAGAATGAACGTCAGTCTAAGATCCATCCCCGCTGGGATGGACCTTTCATTATTCGTGATGTCTCTGGCAAAAATACTTACCAGCTCATGACTAGGAATGGCTACATCCTTCGGAATCTCTACAATGGTATCCATCTCCGACCCTGTCATAAAGTACGCAGCCCCTATCATTTTCCTTTTCTCACCGTCTCGACGCCTTTACTTGTACGATACATCATCCCATCACTGTCAAACCCCCATCGATTACTGATCCACCTGACCCATCTTCTCCTTCTACTGGCTTCCGCCTCCTTCCTTGTTCCTAAACTGTACAGTATTACATCGTTGTTTCTCGCAGACCGGATTATGTATATATAGCCAACCCTCCACAGCCTGGTCCCTTATCTTGACCTCTCTGTCATTATCTGGGACCAGCCTGCCGCCGTTCTGCTTAGTCGCTCCGCCTTGTTGCCTTGTCCAGTTGCTCCGCCTCACCGTTCTGCTTAGTCGCTCCGCTTTCCCGCTCCGATTAGTCACTCCGCCTCTGCCGCTTTGTGACATTAGGTCAAGATCCATTACTGCACTGACAGCCTACCGATAAGGTTGTCCTTGCAGGGTCTATAGACACCACGTCTTCCCCAGTTCCGCCCGACTCTGAAACACCTGTTGACAGTATAGACTGCTCCGCACTCCCGCACGCACTTGACCCCAGAGACCAAGCTCACGCCCATAACAACGACGATACTTGGCGCGATTGCCAGTCTCAACCTTGCCCCAACGCCCTTTTGAACTCAATCCGAGAGCCACTCACTGTGAGCAATATAACCTTCCTGCCGATTCCCCAGCCCCGATTGCCTACTCCCATCATGTCGACTCCTATCCCGCCTGCCCCAAACACCTCTGCGGAGGATCTCATGGCTCAGCTCATCAGACAAGTAGCTAACCTTGCTACAGCTATGGAGGAACGCTCATCCTCTAAGTCAAGCATGAACAAACCCGAGGTTTTCAAGGGTAAAGATGGCGCTGAAGCCCGTCGCTTCATGGCTCAGTTCCAGAATTGGGCGTCAGAACAACCGGATCTCGCCAAAAGCCAAGTAAAACTCATCAAGTCCACCTTGGGCTTCTTCACAGAAAGTGCCGGAGATTGGGCAACTCCCCATCTGCTACATTTCAATGCGGAAAATCCCCCTTTCGGAGGAAATTGGGAGGCGTTTCTGAAGGAATTTAGCCAACGGTTTGAACCAATGGACCCAGGTATGGAAGCCCGTAGCGAGATCAAGAATCTCAGGCAAAGTAAAGGACAGACAGTTGCGGAATTCGCTCAGAAGTTCAAGGATATCGGAGATCGGACTGAAATGTCTGATATTGACTTGCGGGAACGTTTCTTCACTGCATTACTCCCAGAGATCCGACAACACCTCATCACCGTAAACATTGCCCAAGGAATTGCTCCGACTCTGAAGGAGGCAATCAAACGGGCCATATCGGTGGATGTCTACCTGCACGATCCCACCAAGACTGGCCGGAACTCTGGATACCCTCCCACGCATACCGCTCATACTACCCCTGCTGACCCCCACGCTATGGACATTGATGCAACCCACACCAGTAATGGGAATACTAGGGAAGCATTCCTAGCTCGCATGCGAGGACGATGCTTCGGCTGCGGTGCCCAAGGTCATGTCAAGCAAAACTGCCCACACCGAGAAACCACCTGCCGCTACTGTGGACGTCGAGGACATCTGGAAGCAGTCTGCCAAGACAAATTCATGGGACTCGGACGAGACCGAGGCCGACGCCAGCAACCTCGACGCCAACAGATATCCGCTACGGGACCCGCGCCATTCTCCCTATTCCCAAACGAATCCGTCCAAATCGCGTCCTCGACCCCAACATCTGCTCCTGCACCCGTAGCTGCTACTGCGAGCCCCCCTAACCAGGACTTTTCCAATCAGATTGGTCAAATAAGGGAATTACTTGATCGTGCTAACGCTATGTCCTCCTCGTCCTCTGGCTTTCAACAGGGTTTTTAAAGAGGGTACCCGCTTCGGCTGCACCGAGAGTACCCCGTAATCAGTTTGTTATGTTCGCTACTTCCTCGTATGACTCGCACC